GGAGGATATTTTCATGGTGGCCAAAAAATGAATTCCGCTGAAGAACTGGATCAATGATCTTTAGATGCTCCTCCTCGAGATATCTAGAATAACTTATTAACTGCCACAAGTGTTTAGATCCATCCTTGCAAGAGGGTTTCATTTTTATGTTAAACCACATGGGAGCATAAACTTTAGCAACATAATTTGCAACAACTTTTAAATTATTGCAGGGATTTTCACAAGACACATAAAAACGCAATATTCTATTGGCAGTCGTCAACCAACGGGAATGTGCCATTTTTCCAGGGTTTTTTTGGCAAGGTCTGCTGGAAATACGCCGCTTGACACTGCTTGAGATATTTCATATAAGTACTTTTGATCTGTACTAATATCTTTAAAATCAACTTCTGGTAATTGCATTTTAATTCTTTCATATCGTACAACCTCCATCTCCTCACAGTGTTCAAGCTGCTTTCCTATTGGGCCAACAAATCCTCTAGAACCTGTAGTAGTTCCATCTAATTGTTGAAATAAGTGTCTTAATGGGAGCTCATTGGCATGAAGTAAGCAAATTAGCCATTGTAAAGGTTTTCTTAGCCGGGATTCAAGTATTCTAATGATTCCACCTTTGCGTCCTGTGTTAACTGCAGTTCCGTCGCTTCCAATTGCCTTTAAATTTAGAGTGGCAATGTTATTGCTTCGTATATACTCTAAAATTGCACTTGCAGTACAGTCAGCAGACGAAGACTTTGGGGATATATGGCCAATATACTTTGTACCTGGTTCCTGTACTAATACGACATGTTCCTCTTTGATTATTTTTCGATAGTTTTTCTTCCCCTTCTTTTGGTGACTCATTGTTTGGTCTTTTCGTCCGTCGAAATACAATCCTTCCAAAATTAAACTTTGTCTTCTTTCACCATCTTTCAGCTTATTTCGTCTCTTTTGTCTTTGCCTTCTGAGAGTCATCCTGTCAATAACATTTTCTTTGTTTTCATTAGAAATAAGGCCCATGTCTTCTAATGTAGCACTCGCTATGATGGCTGCCGCTCTGTCAGATACACCCGTTCTTTCACATGCCAACGCAAGTGAAGGTAGATGATACCTTTTTGTTCGAGTTTTTCTTGAATCATTTGTAGCTGATGTCGGCGGTTGGTTGCTATAATCGAAATCATACTCTGAACTTAAATCATGTTCCTGGAAATACACACTTTGGTCATCATTTTCATCGCATGATGTTTCTTCTGACATCTTTTCTTCTTCACAACTTTTTACAAGACTCTTTTGTTTTCTTATAGTTTCCTTCTCTATTCTTTGGGCTATTCGCTCATTTTTTCTTGTTCTTTCCTTATCTATTCCACTCATTGCCATCCTTCTTTCATTTCTCTGATCCATAAGAAATTCTCGTTCTTCTTTTGGAACTCGGATCGTTCTAATGCAATGACATAAGACAAAATCCTTACATTTGCAGGCACTTATGTCGAAAATTCTTTTCGCAGACTCCCGAAATTTGTTTAATTTAATTTTAAAAGCAGTATTACCCTTTTTAGACTTGATACACTTCTTCAAATTTCTACATTTACCGTGGTAGTCCTTAAGCATTTTCATAATACGGTTGTGGGAAACTACTGGAATAGAGGTTTGTTGCCAAATTTTTCTTAAAGTTTCCACAATTACTGGTGAAATTTCTGCAACAGTAGGATTACGATTCCAATTTGATGATTTTAAGTCAATCTGAATCCACAAGTAATACTTAATTACATCCTCATAGGTAGGTAAAACACGATGGTCTTTTTTTAATGACTTTGGCTCACCAAATACAGGACATTTCACCGCACTTCTTGTTTTTGGCACTTTGGCAGCCATTATTTATGGTTATAAGCCTAGGGTTATAAGTTATAAGATATAATATATACACAATAACAATTGGTATAAAACTGCTTAACTTGATCAATACGTGACAGATTTAAACTGTCAGTGACAGTCTGTCACATTTGTATTATTGTCATTTTATTGTCTGGGATGCATTATTATGCAAAAAGTTATGTATTGTGTGTCTTAAAAATTATTCTCCCCATTGACTATATTTTAAATTTCAGGAGCCTAGCGGCACCGGTAAATGTTAATAAAAAAACTAAAAAAAAATATTGTTGGCATTAAGTTTAAAAAAGGAAAATAAATTTTGCTATTACGACAAAAATTTCAAAATTTGGATTTTAAGTTCCACTATACAGCCCATTATAAATTGTACTTATAAATTAACTCCCTATAGCACTACACCCATTTTTATGTTAACTGAATTTTTAACTTAATTTTGTAAAATATGCTTGCTTATTATTGATATTACATTGATATTTGTTGTCAGCATTACAATTATTTTTTATTTATTATTTCTTAACATTTGCGAATGTATACCTTTAAAATAAAATGTTCATGAGGGAGAACACGGTAAATAGTGGAATATGATATTATATAAACATTTATTTTAAGGGAACATTCACAAGTATGAACTTGTTATTGCTATTACAAAAAGAATTTCAACGAAAAACTTTCACACAGTATTTTCACTCCACCCGGATGGGCTTCTTAAAATACACCCTGTTATTACCATTGTTAACAAACATTTTTATACTATTTTATTAATACAACATAAAATAGGCTGTACACCTATCAAAATTATAAAAAGTAATATTACATTTTCGTCATAAAACTATCTTTTATCTTATACCTAATACATTATTATTAAGAATCTGATCATTATTTTAAAGATAAAATATATATAATTTTATTAGGGTCATTTCATAACAAGGCGCCAATAATATTGCTCAATACTTTTGCTTTTTAATCCATATTCTTATGAAATACCAAACTAATAATTATAATACTAATTTTTTTAAACTTATACCTTGATAACACTTCCCCTCAGAGCTTGAAACCTTATTTAAAATATGAAACCTTTAAAAATTTAACGATTGGCCCTCTGTAACTCAATATAGTGTCTTCGCAACCTTCATAACTTAAAGCATCTTTCATTACGAGGCCTAAAATAAAGTATTCATGTAACCTTTATGAGTAACATTTGAATTTAAGCTAGTTGGAGGCTCTAACTCAAATCCTCAAAGCATATAAACAAACCTCACCAAGTAAAAAAATGAACCTTTGAAAACCCTTAAAGTAAAAAAGCTATAACTCCATCTATTTAATTTTTCTTTTAACTTTAACATATGAAGGTTCTAATATAATTTTAAATACTTGCCTATATTAATTCAATTAGGTATAAACCAACATAAAAAGGCACGTTGATTGTTGAATAGTAAACGAGTAATTCGTCAAGCATTTCGATTTGTTAAAAGTTTGTGTGGTTTATTCCTTTTTTTTTTCAACAACACAATTATTTACAATTTCACACTTTTAAGACACTTATTGCTCTCGGAACCCCACATAATATAAAGAACCAGAAATAAGAAACCATAATAAACTTGTATTTTGATGACCCAACTTGATTCAAGTTACTTGAAGGCTAAAATTAAATAAAAATGTGTAAAAAAATTATGTACATAATTGTAAAATGCCTGGTATTACCTGATTTTTGTTACATAAATACAACTTGTGCTTAATTATTATCAGAAATATTTTTATTTATAATGATTTATTATTTTAGGTTACCTATGTGACATAACTTATGTCAAGTGTTGACTCAACACGGGTGGACATCAAGATACATACACCTTATAGTTTTAAAGGTCACGGTAGAGGCAGCGGTAAAGGTAGCGGTAGAGGTAGCGGTAGCGGTAGCCGAGTTCGCAAGAACGTAGCGGCAAGAGATGACCATCTTTCATCTTTTCTTACCTCAACCGCTACTTCAGCCAATCACACGGCAGTTTTCAGTTGGCAGCCTCGCCTTGTAAGTTTAGTTTTTATGCGAGGGGCAACCAGACTTGATAATTTGTCAAAAATGGGCACCGTATTTGTGTATTTAAAGAACTACTCTTTATCGGTCAATTTTATTTTATTTTAATACTGAAAATGGCGTTTCTTAGCTCGTTCCCGATTTAATTCCCTCGTTTTATACACTGAGAAAAAAGTGTATGGTTCCCAAATAAAAAGAATAATTAAATATGGGACAGAAGCATTGTTTATTTATCCTAAATATATTTTTATTCCTGACACATAAAGTTTTACTGAAGTAAATTTATCGTTATTATTTCGATTATTTAGAGGTAACAAACAATATACCTATTCACATGTATTAGCTACACAGTTTATTTGTCCCATTTTTTCTCAGTGTAGCGACGTACTTGACGACCCCCATAACGTACTTTAAACCCTGCAATACAACATAATATATTGTTTTGCAGGGTTTATTATATAATATTTCGCAATATGGCCCAGAAGCACAGCTGAGCTAGCATTGTCCTCGCAATCCATGTTTTCGTAGAAAACTTAACCTTTTGCTGTCAAATTTTACAAACAAAATTACAATCTGCATTAAAGTACGCATTCGCCGCCAGTACCGCTACCGCTACTTTCTGAACTATAAATTACAGAAAGTGATACCGCTACCAGATATTTCTCTATTTTCTTTTATAATATTACTATTATTCATGTATTCGAACGGCAACTATCATCAAGTGACGTCATGCGCGGCACGAACCAAAACTCGTCCGCCGGAGCATCCAGCCCTGGGTGGACATTGTTGCCAACATGAAAATAATACTATTTATATTCTGCAAAATAAATAAAAATAAACGATAAAATAAAGTAAAGAAAATAAAAAATATTAAATAATAATATTTCCTTATGAAAGGCCTTATATCTCATTCTGTGGAGGTATAACAGAGATACGACCCTGACTCAAAACTTTCTTCCAAATCGTGTTACCACCACTAACAGATTTAGCAAAAATTACTATTTTAACGGACCCGTTAAGTAACATCAAGTGGCCGATTGTCTGTTATTCGGGCGCTAATTATCTAATAAACAAACTGGTCAAAACTCAATCAAAATATAATACATAAGAATTTTAAGAAATTTATTGAGCAATTAAATATAAATAACAGCAAACATAATATAAATAGCCATCCTGATATGTCACTTAACATTATTGCTTTAACATAAAAACCTATAAATGGGTATTAATTGACAATAAATTTCGTTTCATATATAAAAAAATAATAATAACACTTAAATTGAATATGTATTTTACTCTTTTGTGTTGTATCACTACTAACTGCTGTCAATGCCTAATTTATTTTTAAAGAATACATTTTGTTTTGCCGACTATTAAAATGTATTATCATAGTAACCCCATAGTACAAGTATTTATATGTATATTATATAAGAAAAGGAATATTTTTGTATTTATTTAAATAATAAGTAAGTATTTCTTAAAACAATGACGGTAATTAATGTCTTTCATATTCAGTTATATCTTCTAAATTAATTATATCAACTTCTGTTATTCCTTTACCAGCAAACTGAGCAAACTTTGCTTCATCATGTAGATCTGCAGACCTTTTGACAACTTAAAAATAAAAAATATGAGTTAAAAATATGTTAAGTACACGTTAATGACAAACTTACCTCCTCCAATGTATGTTTCCAATTTGTAAATGGGTTTTCCATCACATTCTCTACCAATATATGATCCAATAGTTTTTGGATCAGTGATTGCTGGTGTAACAACTCGCATTGTTTGTCTTACAACTTTGGTATCAACATTGTAATAACCATCCCACATTTTGTGAATAAGATCAAAAAGAGATTTTGGTGGAAGAACATTTTCTATAAAAACATTTATTGTTTAATAAATATTTTTTTTAACGTTATGGTTTTGTTTAAAATTTACCTCTGTTCAAAGGCATAACAAAGCAACGATTGCCAGTTATATCGATAATACCAGTGGTGTTGGTATTAAAGTCGTGAATAAATCTACCATTACGACCGTTTTTAAAGTCAGGTACATCAATTTTTTCATAATCATCATCGATTTCAAATTCTTCTTGGAAGTATGGGCTTTTAAATTCAGCGGCAAGCCATTGATCAGTTCTTAAAACGTAAAATATAATAAACTTTACATATGAATGTGAATAGTGTGAATTTAACAACATAATTGTATACACAAAGAAAAAACTTACGTTTCCATATTATAAGATGGATCATCATTTAACATACTAAAAATTAAAAAAAAAATCCAAAAGTAAAATAAGGATAAGAACACAAAATATAAAATTTTAGGAACGTAATAGGAACTTTTGATATGAGAATTAACATTTGTGTTAAAAACTATAACATAATATCATTTTAATTTATCTCATTAGGCTGAGAAGTAGGTAAGTCTTTTTGTGCTGAGCTCAAAGTTTGAGCGAAGAACAAAAAGATACTTCTCAGCAAAATGGCATACTACATTTATCTTCAAGGCATAATTTTATTTGTTAAACGATCCATAAAACGTGCCATTAAAATGATAATTAATAAAAGTATAAAGTGATCACTTAAGGTTAGATATTTATATATCTGTAACAGTCGAATTTTGTTATTTGTCCAAACTGTTTTTTTAGACTAGGAGGTAAAACACTTTATTTGATTGTTCTAAATTATTTTTACAGCCTAGGCGATAATCAATCACTTTAGTAGTCAGTCTTGACAATAATAAAATTTAAATTATAAAACGCGTGAAGATAATACTAAATTATGATACGATATAATGCATGTTATTATTTACGATGATAAGGTTTGACTAGAGACGTAAATCATCCAAGTGAATATGCGCATTATCTCGAGCATGGGCTCTTTCTACTCCAATTAAGCAATGTTCATTATAAACAAAATTTATTATAACCTGACTTTTTCCCCATTCAAAATTTTGAATATGCTCAAGGGTCTCATTTAAGGAAATCTGAGATTAAGCCATCCCTTGAATCATTTATATAATCTTACTAATTTATATTAATTTTTATAAAACCATGTCATCTTTTCATTTCACTATGCAACAATGGCTTTATTCAAAGAATTTTCTAAATCTTAAATCATCTGCTCCATTTTTGATTATTTTCATATATTATTATAAATCCTTTATCAATAGAGTGTCAGATCTGAACCGGCTCAGTGAACCGGGTCTTATAAGTGATCTACGTGAACCAGTTCACGAAAATTAATCGAACCGGCTCAGGGGTCCGAAATTACAAAGCAGAGAACTGTGTTTGACTAACGGCCGCGCGCAAGCCGTTCTAAGCTCCGATTCACTGCAGTGAGCCGAAGTCCGGCGCATGGCGAGCGGCGCGTCGCGAGAGATATGTTGGTAAGATCTGAACCGGCTCCCTGGAGCTAAGAACGACTCGCGCTCTTTAACCTTTGCAGTACGTTTTGTTTTCTGTGATCCAGATCTGACTAAAACATCTCGATTCTCTAGGCGCAGCTCGATCATGACTGTTGTATCATGCAGCTCGCTAGTGCCTATGCCGGTCGGATCGTTCGAGCGTTAGGCAAATTTATACTTTTGGTAATTTTTTACAAACCCACAGAAATATGAGATGATTTCCCTTATGTTAATTTTTAATATTAATTAATTTAAATTGTGTAAACTTACATTTATGTTTTAAATATAACATTTCAGTAAAATTAAAATTTTAATTTAATGAAATAAAATGTAATATTAAATAGCCTTTATTATATATGTATAATATATAAGGTTTAAGCTTATTGTCCCATACAAACTTTGAGGTTAGGTTTTTATAACATTTGATGCAAATTTTAGATTACACAGTTCGGCTACCATTAAAAAGGTGTACCTCTCAAACTTCGATAAAATAAACCGTTTCCGAGATATTCGAGATTACAATAATTGTTATATCGCATTATTTAAAAGGATTAAAAGGTATATGATAACAAAATTTATTTTTTAATTGAAAAAACTAAAAAGAGCATTCCATGAGCCTCGGGACTTTTTGCCCTGACCGTCACAAAAAAAAATTGTAGTTTTTTTCAATTAAAAAATTTGTTATCATATACCTTCTAGTCCTTTAATGCGATATAACAATTCTTGTAATCTCGGAAACGGTTTATTTTATCGAAGTTTGAGAGGTACACCTTTTTAATAGTAGCAAAACTGAGTAATCGAAAAATTGCATCAAATGGTATAAAAACCTAACCTCAAAGTTTGTATAGGACAATAAGCTTAAGCAACCCCTGTTTCTTCGACACTGTGTTCTCTCAAACAATTGTAATTATGTGTAAATATGTGTTTTGGTAGTAAGTGACTGTTCGCAAAATATCACCTTTCCAAGTCTTCCATAGTAGAAGTTATATTAAAAAACTGATATGATAAGTAACACTTTATCACCCTGTATCTTTTAAACAAACGTAATTAGGAAAAATATTTATTTAGATTTTCGTCTTATTTTGACTTGCTTAATCTGCTCCTATATTTATGCCACTAAGTTTAGGGACACCTTGCATATATACAGTGCTTGCAAATCCAAATCCGACCGCGTTGGAAAGGATGGTTGTTCAATACCCGCGTGAAAAGAAAGGATAGAATGCCAAACAGAATTTGATTGGTCAGAGCGTCAGGCGTGCGTATTGTAAGCGCCTTCTGTTTGGCGTTCAATCCTTGTTATTTTCACGCGTCCTTCCCAAACCGGTCGGACTTGGATTTGCAAGAACTATATATATATATAATATATATATATATATATATATATATATATATATATTAGGGTGGTCCTTATTTAGGGTTCGAATTTTTCTTCACGATAGTCCTAAATAGGTTCCAAATATATAAAAAAAATAATGTGCCAAATTGCAGCTCTTAATTTTAAAATTAAGCCGCCCCCCCCCGACAGCGTTAAATTTGTTACAAGAATATTTATCCTTCTATATAATCCGTTTATTAGTTCATGACTTAAAAAAATCCAAAGTAATAACAGAACTTTTCCCATGTTATTTCCATTTAAAACTTTGGCTGTCGGGGGGGCCGGCTTAATTTTAAAACTCTAGGACTGCATTCTACACATCAAAATAATAAAAAAAAAACTCAACTGTTCTTATCCGATTCTTATTTGTTTTCAAGTTATAGCGAAATTAAAAAAAATGAAATTTTAAAAAATAAATAATCTAATGTTCTTTGTAAAACTATGGAAACAAAGTTTTTGTTTCCATAGTTACATATACATATTGTTTACATTTGAAAGGCCTAACTGTCAGCGTCAGTGGTATTTTTGTAATTTTCCACTTTAAATTTTTTTAAAATGTCAAAAGTTTATTCAAATTTAGAGTATGCTAATATGGTTTTTGTTTATGGTTTTTGTAATGGCAATGCCACAGCTGCTGTAGAAGAATATCGGCGACGTTTTCCACGTGAAAGGGCTCCTGACAAAAACGTATTTATTCGAGTTTTTAACAAACTTTGCGAGACTGGAACTCTTTCAAGTGTTAAAATAACATCTGAAAAAGCTGATCGACAAACTTTAGAAGAATTGGAAAATATTTTGGATCTAGTGGAAAAAGATGCAACGACCAGCACCAGAAGAATCGCTACTCAATTGGACATTTCACAAAAACGGGTAATACACACACTTCACGAGCAAGGCTTATACCCATACCATTTACAAAGAGTACAGTTTCTACACCCGGAAGATTATGCTAAACGTGTGGAATTTTGTCGGTGGGTAACTAACAATCGTAGAGTTGTATCGCGTATACTTTTTACTGATGAAGCAACATTTACCCGTGACGGCATAAATAATACACACATTAAAAACCAATCCTAATCATTTGAATATGTGTAAATAGCGCGTGATTTTTTGGTAATAAGTTTTATTGTATCACTATATCATTAATTGGGTTTAATATCTTGGGATAGTGCATACACTGAGTTTCAATCCAATCAAGCTTCATGTTGTCGCGTTCTTCATAAGCACTGAATTACATTTATCTTAAATTTTAATATTTTGTATTGTCTTTATTTTGAGTTACACTGACCTTGGTTTTGTTGTTTCCTTTTGTATCACTTTGTATTTAACTGATATGTATATTATTGTTTATGGAAGTCAGTGTATCATCTCATATTAAGGTATTTATTTATTTTAATTCTTTGCATTTGTACTCAGGCTAAAGCTTTTAACAATTATATTGTTATTATAATATTGGTATTACTTGGGTAAGGTTTATAAAATGCTATTGATATTATTATTAATTCTATTATTATTATAGATATTGATTGATTCTGGATAGAGACTTAAATTTAAACTGCTTATCTTAGCGCTTTATTTGGAATATTTGATAATGACTTTAACGTTACTATATATGATAAAAATCTTTTAATATTATTATCCAGCGAGTCACTTTTTGGTGGTTAGAGTTTTGGCCATGTTTAGGTGTTATTTATATTTTACCCATTTTATTTTATTGCATATTGTTGATTTTATTTGTTTCTGTATTTGTATTTGTGTTTTAGTTTGTAGAGTGCTCATGCATCAATATTTGTACATGGGTAATATATTAGCAATATTTCAAAAGGATTTATCCTTAGAAGAAAAATAGTGTTTTTATGTTATTACCTATATATACTCTGTGTGCAGAATTGTCTGTATATTTTCGCAATACTGTGGTCTTGTACTGGACATTGAATTTGTGAGAATATTTGAACATATTGTGATATAGGGATACTAAAGTGAGATAAGGACATTAGGTTTCGATATATCACTTCACAGAGATGCTATTGTTCCATAGTGTAGTTATTGGCTACGGATAAATATCTGCACTAGATTATATTTTTCCATGGTTCCCCTCCCCTTTAAAGGAATTTGAATTTTCTCTATCAGAAATGTGTCATTGCTGGAGTTTATTTATATTATATCGTATCCTCATTCAATAGTTCGAAGATGCGTGGTAAGGTAAACAAATAGTACAACTCTTCGTCATAAAATGACGATCTCTCATAACTAGTTTACCTGAGTATAAAATGTTTTGAATATTGATAAAAACACCCAAATTATATGAAATATGTTTATATGCTTTTTATGTTATTTTATTCACTTGTTATTTATATAGTATTCTTGTGATTATGACCTATATGACTATGTTTGTTTTGTATTTTATTTTTATTTGAACTGTGTCGACAGGGTTTTTATGGTCCCTTTTCCCTGTGCTCTGACTTAACGGGCCGCCCCTT